ACTGTACATCGACAAAACCTTTCTATATGGTTTTCATAGAAACAGATTACTTCTCATTAAATGTATTGATTTAACAAGTTGCTGCAGCTCATAACGTAGATACAAATTTAATTAATTAAGGGGCTCAACCACTCAGCTTCTGACTAAATATATGAACTGTAGCAGTGGGGGCTCTACCCAATGATTTACAAAAAAATAATAATATGGATGATACCAATCTGGGTAAAATATGTTTCCTACCTCTGCTTCCTAGCTTCTATTCCTTCACCTTCCCTGGGGTCAACAGTAAGAACACTATCTAGGGTTGGAAAGGAACTTCAGATTGCTGTGTCAAATTCAGACAGACTGCAGCCATATGGATGCCATTATGAGATCAAATTGGAAATGCATGATGTGTGGAATAAAATGCGTCTAGAGTCTACCAAAAAAGATATTCAAAGCCAAAGTTAGCCAAAAGCACTCCTTTATAAAAACCATACATATTATTGCATGTGCTACACACACTACATATAAGGAAATAATGTATTTTTGCTAAGCTCTATGAGGGGGACTATGCTTGTATTTCCTAACACCCAGAGGATTGTGGGCAACTGTGTAGCTCCTGTGCAGTGGAAAGGAACATTTGGAGGTCCCTATGACTGATAGCATGCATCCTGCATCCCTTTCCTACCTCCCTTTTCACAGGAAGAATTATTTGGACAGCACTTATCACAATTCCTCTTTGGCCCTAAGTGTCCTTAGAACCCATGTTTTGTAGCATGCAACCAGGAAACTATGGAATACTGGGGGGAAAAAAGAACACATCTGTTTTTTGTAACTGCAATGTATATTTCAACTAACAGCATTTTTAATTTACTTAAAAAGAAATCAGTTTAGGGCCCATGTATTTATTAATGTATTCAATTACTGAATTGTGTCATGATTGGTTTAAGCGAACTGACCCACATGCAGAAAACCACTCAGAGACCAGGGGAAAAAGTTTAGCAGGTTTATTAAATGTAAATGAATAACAGAAGATGGATCTGGAACTCAGTGGACTGGTGAACCAGAACAGGAAAGTATGAAGGGGAGATCACAGTGATCAGTTTAGGGACTGTAGGAAATTTGACTGAGGCTTGAATATTACTGGAGAGGGACTCACGTTTGGGGGGGTCAGTTCAATTCTTGAATCCAGCTTGTGGGGGTTAATGCAGAGAAGAGGGAACTCGTTGGAGGGCAGACAGATAGGCAAGCGTTGGACCCAGACGAGTAAAGGAGCGGACTGTCACTTGGATTTCCGAATAGGACTTGAACGGATCATGTGGAGGATTTCCCCTGCTCAGTGTGTACTCAGTTAATCCTTCCAGGGGGAGAAGGTCCAGGTATCCAGTTACTCAGGAAGACTTCCCAAAACTGGCAAACACTCTGGCATTGATGTAGTGACAGCCCACTGCTCAAATACTCCTCCAGTAATGATCCAACGAGCCGCAGGTGTGCAGGGAGGCCTAACGAGGAACAGGGCACCACCTGGTGGTGGAGGGAGAAAAACACACAAACAACACACACAAACTGGATTCCTAACAAGTTGTGCCTTTTCTGAACCTTTTCACCATTTATCTGCATCCATGTTTTGTATTTATGTTACCTTTTATCAAATTAAAGTTCTTTGAAAGCTGTGCTCATGTTCGATAAATAAAAATTATGCCCATCTATGACGCATATTGTACTTTGTGTTTAAGCAGAGGTTCAACATATTCTTCATTAGGTTCACATTTCTGCTTTTTTTTTTCATTGCTTTGAGGTATTATGGTTTTGGAGATCCAAAACAAGAGACAAGAATGACAGGAGCATAGGAAAAAAGACAATTCAATGACAGACCGGATCAACAAAGACGGGACGAGGACAACTGAGGATCTGGCATCAAGAGAGGGAACCAAAGAGAATTTATTCTGGAGCTTTCTTCATTTCATAAGAAGAAATGAGCAGATGAGAAACAAGAAGAACATGAAACGGCAGCTCTGTGGTAAAACCCAGGAATGAAATAAAAAGAAAGGTGCTACAAGTAATCAAATTAGACTTATTATCAAACAAATAAAAAAATCATAATAATTATGAAAAACTTAAGTCTAATATCGGTATTTGTTTAATTATTCCACATAACATGTTTTACTTTGTAAATGAGTTACTAAAGTGAATTAGATTTTTAATAATATTTGAATTTATTACATACAGCTGAAGATTTCTCTTGACTTAAACTGTGTCAGGGGGTTATATCCACTAGATAAGGTTAATGAGAAAGATAAATTGAGGACCTGAAAAGTGTGTGTATTCTCCGTGCTAATTTAAGTCTAAAGGGACCATTCACACTCAGAATTAGAACAGGATATGGAACAGATGCCTGAAAACTTGATTTCTTTTTTGAAAAGAGTACAAGCTGCACAGTGCGTGTTGACAGCAGAGAGCTGAATCAAAGCCAAAAGGATGTCTGATATAAAGCGCAAAAAGCCTCTAGTTGGCAGTCAGCTTAATGCAGGGCAGGATTAACCCAGTAATGAGAGCACAGGGTCCCCCACACAAGATAACAAATGATCTGATAAGAACCTGGCTGCACAGAAATAGATATACACTGTCAATGAAGTTTATTAATTGTTCCTACTAGAACAGACTTTAGTTCTACATCCAAGATTTACAGAAAACACACATCCTCGCCTTCAAAAGGTACTTCGAACTTTCAACTGGATTTCATGTTTTATTTTTACCTATATATCTAAGTAACGCATAGATTAGGATTATTTGCATATGGACATTTAGCATCATATTAAAGATAAAACCCCAAAAGAGAAAAGTATAGTGTGTTTATATTTAGCATCCTTTACTCTGACACCATCTGTAATCCAACATGGATTTAACGTCGCAGATAACACAATCACACAAGCTCAGTCAAATTGTATGTCTATTATAACTACTATCATTTCTTTCTATGGATTACAAGTTGTATGTAAGTCTGATCTTTGGTTAGTCCACCCTAACAACTGAATATACTTTGACCTGAAGCACACCGTTTAAAATCAGGCTGTATTTAGAAGTTACCGTCCAGCTTTAGCATGAACCCCAGCTCTGATATCTGATACTTTTTTGCAGCCCGTAACACATTTTCTTCCAGGATTGTCCTGGATTTAGCTCCATTCTTTTTTTTTAATCATCCCATTCAACAGTTTTTTTCCTTTTGAGAAAAGGTAAATAATAAGGCATTTCCCACAGCATGATGCTCCCACCCCTTTTCTTTACAAAACCAAGAGGCATTGTTAGTTTTTCCACCACATTTTGAACGGAAACCATCAAGGTAAGGTTTTCCATCAAGGAAAAACATCTTTACAGTTCTGACACACTCTTTCTATTTTCAAATGATCTATGGGTTAATGCACATTTGTGGCCTTTTCTTATTAATTTTCTGCCTTCATTGTTTGTCATATCAAATCCCACTAAAGGCTCCCTGAAGTATTTGGCTGCAGCAACGGGAAATGCAAACAAAAGGAAAAAATTCATAGGAAAGTTCAATAAATCTGCAGCTACAGTTTTTGCCAAAAAAAAAACCCCACCCAGAACATTGAAGTAAATTGATGTCAGTGGCTTCTGTCATTTGTGACATGAAACCTGATTCCAGTTCTGGATCTAAAGGAAAGGGGGGTTCATTCCCGCTTAGACCAGATTCGCTCCAACTGGTTTGGAAATGAAGTCTGCAGAACTTTGTTTATGGTAAAGTTATACTTCCCTCCAAATTAACATTTCACAGAAAGCAGAATGATTCTTTTCTCACATTTCATCTTCATTATCATCATCATCTGTTATTGCAGTAATTTACATTCCAAACAAAGTTGCTCTCTGCATTTAACTCATCCCCTGAGGAGTAGTGGGCAGCCACTGTGCAGAGCACAGGGTTCGTTTTGGGGGTGTTGCTCATGGTCCATAGTGGTAGTCTGTAATTTGAAGAAGGGAGATTTCTGCATTTCCAGTTGCAAGTGCCCAGATCTAACCACTAAGTCACCACTTCCCCCGTTTCTTATCGTTTAAAGCATTTTTCACTGTACATTTGCTGTCCTGTGAAATACCATACTGCACAAAATAATCTCACCTTGCCTACTTCTATACTAAAAGTAGCTGGGTCATATCATTCCCATTCAGATCAAACACACATTTATTTGTTAGACAAAAAATTCATCTGGTTTTTACCTTTACATAGTTTTTAAGCTTCTGTATGTCTACCTGTTTTATTTGCCTGGCTGTCTGAGAGGCAGAGGGACACATTAACACAGAAATTAAAACTAGCATGACCTAAAATAAATATTTATGGAAACTTATCAAGAATTGTCAAGAAACAAATGTTATTTTAATTTAACAGTGCAAGTTTTTTTTCACAAAAAACAAACAAACACATGAACCAGGGCAGCTGTATCAATGCATTAATATGCATTCCTATTCATACAAACACAATAACATGGACAACCGCTTCAGTGGTCGAGAGTCAAATTTTCAAATTGCATAAATGAGTGAAAATATATCCAATGACTCCAAACAGAAGGACCAATGTGTGTTCTTTGGATCAATGCACAATAAAAGTTTGATATGTGCCCGCGAAATAACGAACAATGAATACTTAATAAGTAAACACACAGGATAAAACAACTCAACACTGAATGATAAACAGAAGCACATAGGAAAATAAAACCGCAGAAAACAATCTCAAATGAGGCATCCACATCTACTAATGCATGTTTCAACGCTGCATTAGATGTGACAGATTGCAAGATATGAAGTCCTTACTTTGTAACATTAGTCGCACAGCAACTGTTTTCCCATGACAACCATGTCATTCGGCATGTGGTGCTCAGATTATTTATTACTTGTTCTGAAATAAAAATGTTTAACATAGTACTGATTACACTTATGTTCAGAAATCAAAGATTATCAGTCTAATAAACTCCTACAGCAATGGCTACCCCCCACCCCCCACCCCACCCTTTAGTTTACAAGAACACCCCTGAACCCTAAAACAATCAAAAACTCCTTTAAATCTTAAAATTAGCTTTTTCCCAATGTAATCGTTTGATTTTTTACTTTTTATCATTTATTTCTAAGAAACTTTTTACCATACAGTGCTGCAACACCTTGCCTAAAAACATCATAAATGTTATTCTGTGTAAAGTAGCTCTAATTTTTAACACCACTTGTTACTATATCTGGTTGTGTAATGTTAGATAAAAGCTATTGCACTTGCTTTTAGAACCTTTTCCATCCTAAATCTAAACTAAAAGCTTTAAAATTCTACTGTAATAATTAAACCAAAATCATTAAAGGGCAAAACGTGAAGCTTTTAAAAAATCTAAAATAATATTGTTGCATAAATGGGAGCGACTTCCTAATGATACTATAGTTTCTGTTTCCTATTGTGTTGACACATCAGCGTGACACATCTTGGCTTGATGATCATTTCTCACTACGCCTTGCAAAAATGTCCCAAATTTGATGGATTTTAAGGGCCTCTCTTGACCATGCCCTCAGATTTCTGGTCGTTCTCTGAAGCTATGTTAGTTTGGGTTTATGCTTTGTGTCACTATCATGTTGAGAGACAATATTCTTATTTATGTTTGAGGTATTTTAATTTCATCTGTAGAATGACAAAAAAAAAAAATCAGTTTTAATTGTATCCTGAAGTCAAATTTAATTTTTTTTTCACCAAATGGTATTTGGAATTTAAGTTCTTGTCACCTTAAAAACAAGGCTACAGCTGAATAAGATGAATCCCAAATGATGGTGCTGCCCCCACCATGCTTCCCAGAAGCCTAGTTGCGACTTTAAATAGGCTTCCACAGATGTTTTCTGGATTTGGGTTTTGTTTTTTGGGGGGGTGAGTAATTGGAAGCCTAGGTATCTGCTTACTACCATTTTTAACATCTACTTACACCACCCCCAGTACATGCCAGAAACGATGACATGTTATTAATGTTACTGTTAGCTTCTTAGCAGCCCTCCGATCCAGTGTTTATTCCTTCTGTTTATATATTCTGAAAGGATATCTAGTTCTCTGTGTTACTTTTCTTCACTTTTTCCTGTTCTCGATAATTAACACTCCATTGCGTTCAATGTCATGCATCTAAAAAGTTGGAAATTGTTACGTCCCTTGCCCCTGACTGATAAGTTTCGGCACAGAAATTCATCTGATGCTTTGGAGCTCTCAGCAGACCAGAGGGAATTCTTTAGGCTTAATCAGGTCGGTGCATCATTGTCTTAAATTATTCCAGAAACAGTGGTTGGAAATTAGGCTGTTTGTGGTCGGTCTGATTTTGTCCCACTTTAGTCCAATAGTAGACTCTGAAAAGATGTCGCAAACCCAGTTTTCAACGTCTTTTCAATAAACTGCAAATTATGGATATTCAACTTTCACTTTTTAACCAAATGTAGATGTTGTTTGGACGTAAATCCTCGGTCTTTTCAACCAATTTTTGCACAAGGGTCAGGAACAGCTAAACTTTACTTTAGAAGTAGCCACAGGCAAACTGAATGATGGCGACTGCATTTCTCAGCGTGTTTATCAAATTAAAATTGAATAAGGGTCAGAAATAATTTAGCTTTGTCTTGCTTCCTTTCAACTTGAATTTTAGTACCAAAAATAATCTTATTAACTCTAAATCTGTGCTCCATAAACCTACAAAAGAAAGTATATCTCCATAAAATATATTCAGTCTATGTGGTATTTAAATGTTGTACCAAAATGTTTCCAGCATTTCTTTTGTAAAAGCACAATTTTTAACTTAATAAAAAAACATGTAAGTCCAGCAAAAGGCAATATATCCACAGGGTTTTCTATGTACAGTATGGATATGCATAGACATATGCTTTAACATCAGGGCTGAGTCCGTGTAAGGTTTGTATATTTTCGACACCGTGCGTTCGTACGAGAGCCCTCCTGCACATCTGCTTTAGGCGCTCGGGCCGCTGCTTGCGGTAAGGCTTCGTCAGCTTGCAGGGCGAGCTGGTGTAATAGGTGAGCAGAGCGAAGAGCGACGCGAAAGTCTTTTGGCTGCCGTGTAGACTGAAGAGCAGGTTGTTCAGATGGATGCGGACGCTGGTGGGGCCATCCTCGCTTTGGTAGCTCAGAGTGAAGAAAACATCCGGCTGGCCACTGTCCCTGAGGGGAAAAAAAAACAGCAAACAGGACTGTCCCATCAATCTGTAAAATACTGTAGTTTATTGTTTCTGTTAGAACTTATTACCTCCTTATTATCTAAAACATCCATCTCTCTGAGGACACTATTCAGCTCATTCTGAGCATTGCTGAGATCATTTCAGGGTCTCCCCTGACTTGGTTCTCGACAAAAGTCTTTTTGCAGTTTTCTCCTATGTGTTATTGTTGTTAATGTGAGTGAAAAAAAATTAAGAATCCAAAGAGATGAAAGCTTGTTTAATAAAGAGGAAAAACAGAGATTCCTATTTATTTTTACAGAGACAGCTGCAGCATTAGGGTTTTACATATTCAGTAAAGGAGGCAAAAGCTGTTTAATCAAGTGCTGCCTCTGAGAAACTTATTTCTTTATCTTAAAAATCTGGCATATTTAGACAAAAATTTCTACCAAATTATGACATAAAAATGAGCTTAAAAACATGATCTGTGTATCTTAAAGATAAGAAAAAGTCAAAAAAGTCTCTCCTCTATCTACCTTTAGCTTTGATACTCCCCCTTTTCCAATATAAGGAAAATCCTCATATATAGAAACGGTTTACCTGTCATATTTATATTTATCATAATGATAATCTCTTCCTGCTGCATCAACGTTTCTGTAGTTACAGGCTTTTTTTCTGTGACAGAAATCACCAAATTTTAATCAGCTTCAGTTGTTAAAAGGTCTTAAACAGATCAAAATACTTGTGCAATATCTTACTTGAATTAAATAAAGAACCAAACTCAAAGAAAGCGTGTTGGTTCTTTATCTACTACTCTATTTTCCTGGATTGCTGCTTATGATTTCTCTCTCACTGATTGAACTAAAAATCAACAGAAGAAACAAAACATGTTTAAACCAGGATTAAGAGGAAAAAGTGGTGCTAAGGTACCTAATGAGGAAGGTTCCCAGAGATGCGTTGCCCAGCCTTTGGTGTGCCTCCTCCATGGTCATCGGCCCCCAGTAGTAACCGCTCTGCTGCAGCTGCAGAAAGGTGAGTCTTACCAGCTGATATTCTGCCGAGCTGGTGAATGGACGGAGGTGTGTGGGCAAGCTCTCAGGGTCGGCTTCAGTCTCTGGCTACAGCATGAAAACACAAAGGAAAAAGACGTAAAGGTTTCCTGGTAGTGAATTAACAGGAAATCAGGGACTCAGCTTAGACTTCCCTCTGCCTGTGACTTCCCTTTAATATAACAGGGGAACGGTTGTAAGTTTGCATAACTAAAACTGAAAAAAAAAAAAAGTACAAGTCGGGAAAACTAAGATGGTTTTCAAAAGAAAACATTTATTTCAGATAAGCAGCTATATATCTTTTAAAGTATTTTGTATGTCTTTTTTTTAAAGATTTTTTTTTTTACCACTTTGATGAAAAGGTCATGTACGTATGCATAGATGAATGTATGGAATAACTGAACAATGTTGTTCTCCAATTCCAGGATCTAAATCTGATTTATGATTCTTCCAGAATGTGACCTGCTGGCAGCTAAACCCTGACCTACATCCAGCTGCATGTCTGAGTCCCTCTAAGCTGCTAGAGAACTGTAAACGGTTCCAGTCTTTCACTGCCCCCATGCAGTGACTCCTGGGATAATTTCTCCTAAACAGTGAAGTCATGGTGTATTTTGGCAGAGGGCCACAACAGGGATTGATAAAGAACCCCACAGATATCTGGTTTAATGCCAGAAGGTCAGAAGGAAATTTATATTTTTTTAACAATAGCTAAAATCTGGAGAGTTAATTATGCGTTGAGCCTGGAAATCCCCATATTGTTGCCAACTTTAAAAACTGCGCAGCAAACACTGAAACACACAGCGGGTTGTTCTGCTGCTCAGGAGCTTTCAGCCAAACAATCAGACAACAAAGCTTTAAAAAAAGACTCAGAGCCTGACGTTTATTTCATATTGAAGTATCAGATGTCTAGTTGAAATAATTAACCTATGCAGCTGGTTTGTGCCTTTGTTCCCTTTTTTCACTAGAACAAGTTGCAGACTTTTCGAAAAGTTCCTATTTGTCTCGGCTGTCAACAATAGACTTTCCCCAAATGCTTTGTGGATCATCTAGATATGTTCTTGATTAATCTGAGACAGTCCTTTGAGTTCTTTGTGGTTCTGGTCTGGAATGCCATTTTGGCCTCTTCGTCTGTTTTCTTAAAGCTGAGACCTGTCAGGCCTGCAGTGCTTTATATGTTGATCTAGTTCTTGGATGTGCTCTTAGAGTTATTTTTTGTGTGTGGCTAGTTTCTCCTTTGAAAGTTCCCCCACTGTTCTCCGTTTTCACCATGTGTAGATAATGACTCTAACAGTGATTGATTTAAAGCCTTAAAAATGGCTAACTTCCACACACTAAGATCACAAATCTCTTCAGAGCAGGTCGTAATGTTTTGCTTTATCAGGCTTTTTACCCTAATTCATGTTGTAAGAGGGGTTCTATTAAAGTTCTATTAAAGTTCTTGCCATACTCTGAGTTTTGGTTTGGCTGCTGAAAGTTAACCATTAATAAGGTTGATGATTGTTAATTGGTTTAACACGGATGTGTGGCCAATCACATTCAAAAAGGGCTGGTATGGTTTTGATTTTTAGCTTTTTACCCTAAACAAAGAATTACATAATCATTAAAACGATATTTGGGATTTATCTAACCCTTTAAGTTTATCATATATGATATGAAAATCTGTTTAGACATCATCAGTGTGATATTTTTGAAAATCATGACTTATGCAATCAGAGAGAGATGTAAAATGATACCAATAACTTATCTAATTTAACTTATTCTTTTTTTTTTCTTTTTTATAAAAAAAAAAATAATAATAATTTATCTTATTCAAAAGTTTTGTTTTGTTTTTTTTATTTGTCAGAATGTTAATTGACCACTCTAGTGTTTTCTAACAATCTAGTGCTCGGTGTCAATTCAAGAATCGAGTCAATTCCAGTTCTAAAGATTGAGATCTTTACAAAATAATAAATTTTTTTTTTTTTATTGTAACATGAATGACATGACCTTATAGTTATAACAATGTTGTAATGGCACTTTAAATCAATCTTTGCTTTTATGAATCAATCTTTAGGAATTAATGACAATCAAAGCTGAATTATAAAAAAAAAAATTAAACAGCCCTATGACAATTATTTATTGATTTAGGATTTAACGGATTAAACTGTGTTTATCTGATTATCATTGTCTATCTAATGATCTAAATAATTAAAGTGTTGAGGTCTACGTGTAAGCTCGAGATGCAACTTATTAAGTATCCTATCTGCTGATGTGAAACCTTAAATGTAAGCAGAAACGTTGGTAGATATTAGAAAGATATCATCGTTCCATTTAGTTTCTACTTCTGACCCTTACATATCAGCTTCCTTTCGTGAGAACAAGAGGAGCATTTGGGATTCCTGGATTCTTTCCAACTGCTGATCAACTTTTAAACATTAACAGAAAGCTGTTGGAGAAACACTGGATTTAATTGCTACTTTCAGTTTCCAGCCAAAGTACCGTACAAGAATTTATTCAACTTTTATAGTTTAGTTTGTTTTGAGAGACTTTAAACCACTGCTGGCAATAAAAAAAATTCCATTATCAACAAAATATTCGACACAGTCTAAAAGGTTAATAGATCTCTGCGATTAGCTTCAAAGTCCGCTTCCAGTAAACATTGGAACGGTTTGAACAGACAGACTTTCCCACAAAAACGGACAAAAACAAAAGCAGGAGCTGCAGCATAAAGCGTTGCTCCTGTTAAATCATTCTTTCTAGATTCGTATGAAATGTTTTTTGTAGATTGAATCACAAATTAAAAGTGATCTTTCTTTTTCTTCTTAGGGAACAGCCAGTCTGCTGTGTTCGTTTAGCGGCTGAGGTTCATTTTCAGCATAGCTGTGAAACTCATGAATAATGAGACGATAATTTAGGATCTAACATGAATTTCCTATATTAGGATTCATGTGTCAAAAAGTGTGGACTTTACAGGCGGTCTTCATCCATTTTATAAAAAGGAAGAGAGAAAAAATTGCATGTTGTGCAGGAAAAAAAGCACAAAATTACTCTTTTGTGTCTTTTCTTATAATTTAAATGACAAGCTTTTTCTAACACTAGATATGTATTTACATTCAGATAAATTAAAATGTCAACTAAACAATGTTTCTACATATAGCTGTATCTTAATAAAGACAAAATGTCAATAACTTCACTAATTAATTTAGAATATGTATCTTAATATTTAGGTTTATTGAACACTGAGCGACAAATGTAGTGTTTATGTAGTTAATTTTAACAATCAAGGCTTACAGCTATTGAACATTGATTCAGTTCTATTAAAAAAAGGAAATATTACATTAAAATGACAGAAATGTCACAGCACAATCAAAGAGAGATTGCTGACATAACAATTATCCAACAATCATTGCTCCCCTCTACTTCAAACCGGGAAATTTAGTGGAAGGAAAAAGTGCGGTAGAAACAACAGGAACAACAACAGCCGTGGTGTTTCCCCGCTGGCCTGGATGGCGAGCTTGAAGGAGGACAGTAAGGGAAGAAAAATTAAATCCAACAATGCAGAGGAGCTGGGAGCTGCAGGTTTCCTTTTTTAATTTTTCTACAACACTTTTTCCTTCCTCTGAGTTTCCCATCAATACACAAACTGTCGTCATTCCGCTTGCTTAGCACTGGTTTAACCATTAATAAGTGTCCACTGGACAACGGTGAGTCATCAGTAGTCACTATGATTGTGTAGCTATTAAAGTTACATTTCTGTATTAATCATAATGTTTTATTGGTCTTATGCAATATCTAATTTTTTCTGAGAAAAGTTTTTGTTTTGTGTGTGTTGGTGTATGGCATAATTATTAAAACTAAAAGAAATATAAAGGGTATTATTCTGTCGAGGTTTAGAATGGATGTGCAAAAATAATTTTACTTTGAATATACTAGGGAATATCTGGATCTAAAAAGCAGTTAGTCTTTGAAGCAATCCTTCAAAAAGTCCATATTTTTGTCTGTTGGAAAAGGTAATAAAGAATAAATGTTGAAAAATCCTTGCAAATTTGTTGGTAACAGAATATGACAATATAATGTTTAATATTGAGAATAAATATTTGAATGTTATTCCTGAGGCGCCGAGAGATATGTTTAGATGGATGTTATGCCTGCAAAACAAATGCTTCCCTTCTTTTGCTTTCACTTTTTGTGGGTTTTATTGTTGGTCTTACTAGTTTTACAGACAGTAATCAAACTCCTGCGCTAAGATTTCGTTCTTTATCTCATGTTTATCATCTGTTTAATGTTTTGAAATGAACTCCCATAAGTAATAAAAGGCTGTAACTAATTTACAGAAAGCAAACCAAGAGTGGAAACTGACCAGGCTCCAGGATTCAGGCTCCTCCTCAAATCTGAGCTTGCACCAGAGCAGAAAATCTAGCTTTGATCCCGCAGGGTCCTCGTCTCCAGCATGAACCGCTTTTGCTGTTTGTTGAGGCAGATCGGACTCCTCCGAGTTCTGACCCTGGCTCTGTGTCTCAGCTGCCGGCTCCTGTTTCTGGTTCTGATCAGATGTTCTGTCCAGACTGTCTCTGACCATCCTAGAATGGAGAATCCTCTTCCCGACTGCCTGCTGCACCACTTCCTTCTCTTTCCACAGGCAGGGTCTCCATCATCAGCTCTTTTCTGATCGGTCATCTGCAGCCAGCTCCTCTCCGAGGCTCCATGAAGCTTCACTTTAAATTAAGATTTACCACAAGGACCACACAGATCTCATAGGAAGGTAGAGTATGGATGTATTCTGTCATCCGCCACGGAAAGATGAGTGAGCTGCAACAAAGAGAGATAAACACAGATAATCCCTGCAGCCAGATCTTATTGTAAAAACAAATTTATCTGTTAGGAACTTGCAGGAACAAGATGTGACCACAAATCACTGCTTATTTAAACAAAGTCATTCCTGTTTTTCATGTTGCTTGGTGCTTATTCTACCTCAGTTTTGGTTTTGGTTTGTTTCCACAATCCAAACTTTTTAAAAAAAATATATAATTTATCTACTGTTTACAGCAGATGTGTATGATGGAGATCAGCAATATCCAACGACAAAAAAAACAAACAAAGGATAAAAAAATGCTTTAAGAATTGTAATTTAGACAACCCTTGGTAATATTATGATAAAAATAATATTAGGCTTCACAAACTACACTATAATAACTATTTTACTTTAAAATCATCATGTAGCAGAGAAAATAAATGGTGACAACGGATTCATTGATCAACTGATTTCTGATTGGCTCAAAAACTGATCAGTAAAATTTCTTCCCACCCCTTTTTTTAGACAACACGCATCAAAGCTTAACATGCCACACGTTGTTTGTGCCAAAAAATACATCAACCAAAAGAAAGACTTTTAAAAAGTGGTTTTAAGCTGTAACAATGGTTATCAAGAAATGACTAATTACTTACATTTCTATAGAGACAAAACTACCATCAAAGCATCCATCAGCAAAAACCTGCAGCCCATTTTCCTCCTTTTTCTTATAGCATTTAGAGCTTTTCGTTAGCACAAAGGAAAATGTAAGTAAAATTGCAGTTGCGATATTGGTTGAAAAATTTGTGGCAAAATTGTTCAGCCCTAATTCTAACGGTAACTAAAGTCCCTTTTCCTCTAAAAATGCATGCATGGGATTTTATTTTATTTTTTCCCAGGTAAAAGGAATCCCAGGTCATTTATTTTCTGTTTCCACTACTCTAAAAAGGCTGTGGATACTTCCTTTAAAATCGGCCTAATGACATACGGGGAAGTTATGAAAAAAAGAAAAAAAAAACTCTGGTCATGCGGCCGGTGGTAATAAGAAACCAAATACATAATAAGCATAGCCTGTCTGAAAAATCCATATCTGACCATTTTTTTCCAAAAGCCAGTTAAAATAATATATATAATATATTTTTTAAGTGTCGTACCACGTTGTATCTGAAGCCCAGCGATCCGCAATCATAACCCTGCCCTTGGACAGTTCAGGATTAATATGAACAATCATATACCAGACCAGGGCAGATTATCCTGGAATAGGTGGATTTGGGAAAGGAAAATAAAATAAAATAAAATTGTGACCGAGACTAGCTAAAGGTTCCTGCAATGAAAAAGGGATAAAGTGATTTTATGTTTAAGTTTCTTTAAAAGGAAGCCACTGCTTACATCTATGATAGTTAAAGTTGGGGTCAAATCGCCCGCTTAAGTAGAGCAGGCAGCTCAGATGTGAAAGATAACTGGAAATTGATTCTGGACAGGAAAAACCTGACTGAAGCATTTCCAATAGAGACAGTAAAAACAATAACCTCTTTCAGTCCCTGTCTGTCTGTATTAGTGATATAATTTAAAGATTGTACCTCTGTGACATATGTCACCTCTGTGACATATGTCACAGAGGAAAGGCGGCTGCTGCCTTTAATCACAGAAGAATGCTTTCGCTTTCATACAGGACAAGAACAAAAAACAAAAAAAACCCCTAAGACTACAATGAAAACCTGTGGATTTATTTTGGGCACCAAAATGTCATTATTTTCTGTTTAATGAAAACAAGAAGTGATCATTTCCACAAATACATCCGCATTTCCAGGAAATTGTAACAGAGTTTTAATTTAATGATTAATGAAAGTCCCAAAAACCTTTTCACAAAATAATAAATTAAATGGCCAGTTTGACAGAAATATTGTACAAATCGACAAGATGAGAAAAAGAGAAAAGACATAAAACAAGCATTAATCAAATAGAAAACAGACGTTTTAAAAGCGCACATGAATTAACACTGTGGACTGAAGTGAAAGATGATAGCAGGACGGAAAGACATCTGCAAGAAAAAGGGAAAATGGAAAGAACCCAGTGTTCTCAGTTTGCATCAAGTTTTTGGGACCATTAAAATAAAAATGGTCAGCTGATCTATGTGGCTGTCAGGTAAGATGAGGCTGGAGGAAATTCAGATACAGTCACTATGGAAGAGCAAAAGCATCACGTTATAAAAAAGTAAACATCAGGATTTGGATGTGCAGTAAGTGATGCACACGAAGCCCATGAAACAAGAACAGGATGTGAGAGATTTGCTCATGTGTTTTCCACTTAAAAGACTGGCAGCAGCATTTAGACAATGGATCCGAAAGATTTTATATTCACCTCGGATTTTATTTATTTTTTTGCAAAACAAGGCTGATCTGTTTATTATTATTATTACTTGAAGCATCGAAAATTAATAAATGAATTAATTCAATGTTTTTAACCTCATTTAGGTTTATGTTAAAGTTTAAAAACATTTCAAGACAAGGCAGACTAGAAGTCTTAAAGGGGATTCACCCGGGGTGGGATGAAGCATGGATACTGCATGTTAGTGATGATTAAATCTAAGAATAAACGAAGAGTAAAGGAAAGTGATATGAAGAACTGTGGAACAGCAGGGAACCTCACTGCTAGTTATGCAAAATAATAGAGAAGGGGGTATAGACCTGCAAGCATTATAATACAAACATTATTTGCAGATGCTATTTAGTGTCTCCAAATATTAAAAAGCATTTTTATACTCTAAATTCAAATTGTCGAGCTACTTGTTTTAGTTTCTGCATGAGGAGAAACTCAAAGTTCTTGTTTTCTTTTTTAGATTTTATGACTTGTCTAAAACGTTGGTTTCAGTTTTATTTACATGCTGTTTAATTATATTGCTGCAGACTTTATCTGCACTTCATCTCTTTAACAGTAACTCTGTCACACCCTTTCTTGTGCCAAACGACTTGGCTTTATAAAACTTCAAATTTGAGGGTTTAGGTAAACACATGAATAAATAAAGAAGTTATATAAATGTTAATTTGCGCGGCTCCTTGTTGCGGGTAATGGGACATATTTTTATGTTGTTATACAAATTAAATGAGGCGTTAAAGTGCTGTAGGATAAAGACTTTGGGCGGAGTTGGAAACATTTACAGCAGTTTGGTTCAGCTTTTAATTAATTAGAAATAATAATTTATCTACAAACTTTAATTTTACTTTACTTTCACATTTAACACTGTCGACACTTGACAAGTCCAATACAAACAGGTCTGACTGAAATTAAAAACACACATTTGAAAGAGTTTGTATAAAACTAAGGAAGAAGGAAAGTTTCTGAGTGACTTACAGTGAATGACAGCAGAGGGATCCAGCTTTTCCTAAGCAATGAAAGGGTGCAGTGGCTTCACACCGAGGAGCTACATTGGTTTTAAGGCGGAGCTGTAAAGGGGGAAAAAAAAAAAAAAAAAATACTGTTGCTTTCATTTTCTCTTCTGCAAGGCTGATTCCTATAAATCACGTGATCTGCAAGCAGCGCTTTGTGCGTGCGTGTATAATAAGGCTGCAGAAATGCAGTTTACTCTACATTCAGGGTGCAAAGAATAGATGAATACATTTCGATAATTCCTTTCATATGCTTATTGATATTTTGTTTTATGAATACGTCCTAACATCTGTTATGAAAAAGAAGATAAAAGTCAAAGTGGAAAATCGTTTCAGTCCAGTGGCGGTTCTAGACCAAATGTCCCAGAGGGCCAGGAGGGGGGCAGCGTGTTCTCATGGGGGAGCAAGGAGTTCAAATATATTGAGAGAGCTGCATGAAATTAGATTTCTATTCAATCAGGTTTAATTGAAATTGTATTTCTTATTTGGTCAATATACATTCATAACTTAGGAATTTTTCATATTTTTGAATTAATTTAAGTTTAAATAAATGTTTTATATAAAATCTGCATTAGAACTCAACAAAAACTTACAGGTGCTGCTCAGTGGAGCAGAGAGTGGCACTGCTGCCTTGCAGCAAGAAGGTTCTGGGTTTGATTCCTGGCCTGGGGTCTTTCTGCATGGAGTTTGCATGTTCTCCCTGAGCATGCGTGGGTTCTCTCTGGGTACTCTGGCTTCCTCCCACAGCCCAAAAACATGACTGTAAGGTTAATTGGCTACTCTAAATTCTCCTTAGATGTGAGTGAATGTTTTTTTGTCCGGTTTATCTCTGTGTTGCCTTGTGAAGGACTGGCGACCTGTCCAAGGTGTACCCTGCCTCTCGCCCGGAGGCAGTTGGAGATAGGCACCAGCATCACATGTGACCCCGCTTGAGATTAAGCATGTCAGAAAAAGGATGGATGGAAAAAAATTATAGTATTTTTTACTTTTATTTTTTAAAAACATTTAGCAGATGAAAACTGGGATCCTATCTCAATACCACGGAAGCTATCATGTTATTGTTTTTAAATAATTAGTCAAACAGAATTTGTAAAGAAAAAAAATGAAATAGATCCAAAGGACCTATCAGTAACCATGTCTGTTCCAGCGCATAGCATCATTAGAATTTCTTTTAGTATTATGTCTTCAGTACAGGGGCCATAACAGGGGCCAGGATATGATCAACAGGGGTACTGGCCCCCATTGGCCCCTGTCTGGAACAACCCATGTTTCAGCCAGCTCTAGTTCTAGACTTTGACTAGGCCACTGCAACATCTTGATTCTCTTCTTTTTCAGCCCTTCTACAGATTTCCTGTTGTGTTTTAAATCTACTTGTTGAAGACCAAGATTTCCCACCGAGGTTCAGCCCTCATTTAACTACAAAATACAGAGAAGTTCATGATCAGCTCACTTAAAACAAACTGCTAGGTTTCGTGTGGTTACGAAGACCATCATCATCACACCTCCAACACCTTGCTTGACAGTAGGTCTGAAGTGTTTGTGTTTCCTTATTCACTCAGATGAAGCTTTTCAAACTCAATTCCAACCTCCTGTTCCACCGAGACAGAAAAACTGATACTGGTTAACCGAACCTTATTGGTTTGGTCATCTTCTGATTATGAAACCATTAAATTCAACATTTCAGCATGCAAACTGAGGCTTTGAAGAATAAGATATTGTGTTCTATGAGCAAATCTGATATGGAAGTATTGATAGCAAGTTATGTTGCTTATTTGTTGTTGACATTTCCAGTTTGGCCTAATTATTGCTGCATAAATATTGACAGAGTGGAAGCTGCAGGTAATGTAAAACCACCCATCTGCTGTCTATGCCCTGGTGTCTCGTTGGGTGAGAGGAAGGGTACACCCTGGACAGGTCCCCATTCATCACAGAGACACAAGCTCACATCTAGGGACAGTTAGAGTACCATAAGGGGAACTGTTTATGTGCAGAGAGAACATGCAAACACCATGCAGGCTGGATTATAAAGTCCAGTCTTTCTTTTTGCAGTTCCACCACTGTACAAAGTAAAAAAAATATGCTTTCTCTTAAACCACAGTCTGCAACAGGATGGAAACAGGTGTGCGAATACAGATGGTACTCTAGGGCTAAAGGAAATTATTTCATTCAGTGCAGAGGAACTAGGAATGACTAAAAACAAAATTTCAGATACTTTTTAAAACTAAAAACAAGTTTCAGTAATGAAAAAAACTAAACTCAAGCGGTAATGTTGTAAGGTCATCAGTGGTATGTATTTTATATCTCGGTCAGTCATTATAAAGGCAGCGGAATATCCACTAAAATCTATTGGGGTTATAACAATCTCTTTCACGTCTAACTTTCTGTTGAAGCTCATGCTTTTGGTCCAATGAAAGGCAAACATCTGGTAACCAATCTGCATAGAAAGAAAAAAGAATTTAAAGCTGTGGTTTGAATGTAGGTGATCGGGTACAGGAGCCTTCCGTTTTGACCTTTTAAGTGTTTTTTTGTTGTTGTCTATAATACGTTCTTTAGTCGATTTCCTCTCAGTTACTGAGAAATACACTCTGAGGCCAGTGATTCTTCTCTTTTGTTCCTCAGGACCAGTTTCCAGATGAGTAAAGGGCATGACATTTTTCATAATAGGGAAAAATACACAAGAAACATTTAACAATATGCTCAAACCTTAGATAAGATTGCATTTTGCAAGTCTGCAGAACATGAGCACAGCTCTATAGGATAAACTTACTATCAGTTTCTTTTTGGCTCAACAACTTTTCTTATGCAACAGCGTTACAAAGACATGAGAAAATAGAGAATACAATCCTGAGCTGCAGCGTAATTGTAGGAGATGAGCATCACGTGAAAAAGAACGAGACTGAACAAACTGACTAAATGTTGTCCTGTTCAGGCTAAATTCAATAACACAATTACCAGAAAGGCATGAATGCAGCTTTTATTAACATGCAACATTCAGCTAACGGCTGAGAGACGCCAGGATGTGGTTTCCTTTAATAAATAACAGTTGAACAGGAGAAGCTTTAATGCATGGAAGCAGAATGCGTCTGTTTTCCATCTTGGTGCTTTTTGTTCATCAGGTAAGCAGCAGCCAAGGTCCCCAAGATCCCATACGTAGCCAAGACGCACTGCAAGAGAAAAAGAATATTCTTTAAACAGTAACATGCAGAACTATTAATATCTTATTACACATTTTAGTTGTGATTACATTAAAGTGGTATATTATTGTGTAGTGGAAAAAAGATTATGTCAGGATTTTTTTTACGCTTTTGTTATTTAACATGCACTTGTGTTGAGCAATATTCAGCGATTATGGAACATTGCTTATTGCTAAATAAAAAAAAAAAAAAAAAAAAAAAGAGGAAGAAGGTGCTCTGGTTAGACGGGACCAAAATTACATTGAACCACCTGAGCAAACCATTGCAATGGTGAGTCATGGTGGTGGCAGCAACATGCACTGGGGAATCATGTGTAGTTTATTATATAAACTACACGCGTCTGTGAAGGAATGTGACAGAAAAGCTTGCCCCCATTAAGGCTGGCAAAAACCTGGAGTGTTGATGTGAAGATAGGTGAAGATCGAGCCAAAAAGAACCAACAAAACAAGGAAATCTTAAGAGAAAACGGTTAATAATCCATCATGTCTGTGTGCTCCTTGTTGCCATGGATTCCCTCAGTTACTGGAAAATGTTGCCTTAGAAGTTGGACAAAGAACTCTTTGTTTTGACGGCTTTAACTTTAAGTCTATATTAAGGAATCAGGATGCTTTTGAATCCAACTCTATTGTCATTGGTTTACAATTCAGAAATTGTGGTTTGTGTTTTGTAGACAATCATTGGTTCTCTGCTAAAAAAGACGGGTTTCTGTGCAGTTAGCTTGATGATCTTTTGGCTGGGACCAAATAGTTCCTGATTGCAATAGTTTGGCTAATGGTGGAAGGATTTACAACAAACTAGCTTCTCTTTTATTTTAACCAATTGGAGAAGTTAGCATTGTTTTCCCTTTACATTTCCAGGAATTAACTATTAGAGCAGAAGGCCAGCAGTCATATTTAACAGTTAACAGTAATAAAGGAATACATCTGAGTAAGTCAATTTTAGTTAAAATAAGTGCATATTTTTCTTTAACTGAAAAGGTGAGACACTTTGCCAATGGAACAAGATAATGCATTTAAAATAAAAAGAAAATTATTGTATTATTGAGTACATAATATCTAAATATCTTATTTTAAGGGCAAAAATACCCTTTCTATGATCTACATAGAAAGGTTGGATGTAAATGAACGCCTTACTTTGCAGATGTGCGTCCCTTTGCAAGTAATCACTGTTCCTATTGGTCAATAAATAAATAAATAAAGGTTCGTGTTTATAGTGTGAGAAAACGTGAGCATTTTCAAGGTACACTAAAACTCTTTCATTGCGTATTTGTTTTGGTGTTAGTGTTGCGTTTAGTTGCGTTACGTACATTTCTGCGTCCCTGCAGTGTGTAGCTATTGAAGTGTTTCCTCCAACCGGTCAGCTGCACAGGCGAAGGCGATTCCATTCCAAACAGCTGCTTCTGAAACACAGAAAAACACCAAAACACACATGCATAAAAGCATCTACACATTCCAGGATTAAGACTTAAATAATGACAATTATCAATGACGACTAAAAAAAAAAAAAAAAAAAAAAAAAAAAAAAAAAAAAAAAAAATCTAAAATGCAATCAAAAGTTAAAACTTGAGCAAAGAAAAGAAAACAAAGCCACAAGAATAAAAGAAGTAACAAGGCCATTTCCTGCATCCAGAAGGGCTTACTGCCAAGCAGTCGCCGCGTCAAAATGAATGTGAAAGCAACATGTCACAGGGTATATAAATTGTAATTAGAAGAGAAGATTAATCATATTCCTCTGCTGCTGCTGGCTGTAGCTCAGAGGCACTTTTCTGGCTCCAAACTAGACCATCAAACAGAAGGTTGTGTCTTTTTAGCACCTTATCGTCCTGTTCCTGAGCTAATAAAGGTCAAATGAGGCAGCTTAATGTATGGCACCTCTGAGCGGACTGGACAGGATATTACATAGTTTAACACGCTGTTCTAGAGGACAGTCTTGATGTCAAGCTTTTTGATTCGGAGACCTCACTGAGCAATCTCTGCTACGCCGCTGTCTATTTAGTCTGAACAATCAAATGAGACCAGCTTCACTGTAGCCTTCACCCATTTTTTTAATCTGTGGTTTATCAAAACCTCTAAGATCCATTTTCTAAAACAAAACGATTATTTCTCAGATGTGAACAAATTAATCCAAAATTCACCAGAACCAGGTCCTTTTAAATGTTTCCACTCAGAACTTCCAGGGTGTATCAGAATGTTTGCTTATTCTGCATATTGTCTCTAAACCCAGCGTCAGTTTCTCTGCAGCATGATGCTGCTAGCGCACATTCTCTTTAGGGCTGAATTCTGAATGGACCATTTCAACACAGAAATCTGCTGTGATCTAATCCCGGATGCTAGAAGTCAAACCTCTGCCACAGCTTGAAGTATTTTGCAGCATCGGGCAAATTTCCTGCAGGATTTCTCTGATTTTAACTGCATTCATCTTTCCCAAATACTCCAACCAGCTGAAGAACAGCATACCCACACCATGATGCTCTAATGTTAGTGTAATTTATGAGATGTTCAAAACTCATTGCTTTATATTCTAAATCAGTTTCAAACCTGACCCACAGCTTCACCTGTGACCCTACTATTGTGTAACCTGGTCATCATGATGCTTCTTGTTCCCTAATATTCTCTAACAGTCCTTCAAAGATAGGATGTGTTCACAATGAAGTCAATTAAGGCGACTTTTAAAATATCTGTTTAAAAAAATATCTGGATGTATTCTTAAGGGCATCAGGGTAACAGATGCATACAATAATTTTTAAATGTGCGCTTATAAAAGGATTTGAAATACATAAAAGCAGATAAAATAAAGATTGGTAAACAGTCAAAGGGGTATGAATACTGTAATATATTTTTACCACTTTTAAACTTGCTAAAAATGATTTGAATTGTTTAAACTTGCCCTCAGTAAGAGTGAACTACCCCTACCAGAGCTCCATCGGATGCAAGTCTTCTGCAGACCTAATGAAGTTTAGGGCAACTAAATGCAACTTGATCACTTTAAAGGCTTGAATTGCTGCATGCTGCAGAGAGTAACTCCCTCCCTTACCTCCCTTACATTCAATTAGCACCGACTTGCTTTCACTCCTGGGGAAAAGAGATTTTGCTGCCCTCTAGTGGAAAATATATGTATTTATATTTATATCTGAACAGCTGCAGCTCTTCAGATATGACTCTGACCAGAGGTGTCAAGTAACGAAGTAAAAATACCTAATTACTGTACTTTAAGTACACTTTTTAGGTTTCTATACTTTACTCCATTACTTATTTTTCTTCCTACTTCTAAAACACAAGTATCTGTACTTTCTATTCCTGACGTTTTTAAAACAAACGTTACTTGTTACTCTTGGCTTCAGTTTTATGTTTATAAATATTTGTTTCACATCATGTGCTCCATCCAATGCCGATCATTGGCGCCATCCACATCTAGTGAAAACTAGGGTGATTGGATAACGCAAACGCTCATTGGTTAGCTATTCGTTAAATTTGTGCTGCCGCCAAAGGAAATAATCAGAAGCAAGCAGGCGTTCTTCAAACTGCTATGCTACAATGTCGCATTCAGAAAAAGATGTTGAAATGTCTGAAAGGTCGGACACAGGCGAGAGCGTATCGGGAGATGGAGACCAACAAGACCTCCCTCATCCTTGGCCCTATCTCAAAGAATTTTTCGAAATAGTTATAAAATTGAGCTTTCAATTTATATAGTGACATCTGACTGTTATTTTAAAGGTTACTTTATACTTTTATACTTTAAGTAGTTTTTGGAGCACATGCTTTTTCACTTTTACTTGAGTAAAGAGGTCAAGTTGATACTTCAACTTTTACCAGAGTGTTTTAAAACTGCAGTATCTATACTTCTACTTAAGTAACAAATGTGTGTACTTTAGACACCACGGATTCGGACCATTATTATTATTATTATTAACTGTTCATTGTAATCTTGTGGAAGGCCCAGGACACGCTGAAGGGGCTATATCTCTCAGCTGGCCTTGTGTCACCTCGGGGTACCTCCAGAGCAGCTGGAGAAGGTGTGTGTGGATTGGGAGGTCTGTAAATCTCTGTTTAGCCTCCGCGACCCGGCGACCTGGATGGATGGATGGATGGATGGATGGATGGATGGATGGATGGATGGATGGATGGATGGATGGATGGATGGATGGATGG